ATTGTTGCGCTTTGACCATTTAACTAAACCACGTGTCATGCCACATCATCTTTAATATAAACTTAGTTTTTTCCCAATACAATTCTTTCATGGGTTTGAGCTATGAAGTTTTCGTGTTTTTTTTTTTTTAAATATTTGACAATTTAATCTTGCAGTATCTCCTACTTTTGCTTAATACCATGTAAACGATTGGAGCATTTAGAAGTTATAACAATTTTGTGTTATCTCCAATGGAATCTATATTGTGTGGATTCGACATAATTGGCTATCCTCCTCTATATCCGGGTTTCGGGTTGACAATGGCAGTAAACTCACACAGGCATAGGTTGTTTGTGAAGATTCATATAGTTTACTCTAGCTTGTTTGGAACAAGGTGTTATTGTTATTGTTATTGTTATTGTTTATCTGATAAAAAAGTGTTACTCCCTCTGTTTCAATTTAGATTACACACTTGCTTTGTTAGTATGTTCCAAAAATAATGACAAATTTTTATAATTGGAAATAATTTAACTTTAAACTCTTCATTTTACCCATTTACCCTTAATGAAAAGCTTTTATAACCACACAAATATCAAGGCCACACAAAGTTTTTACTCTTTAAGTTTTAAAACCACAAATTTCAAAAGTCTCCTTTTTTTTCTTCTTAAACTCCGTGCCGAGTCAAACTACCTCATCTAAATTGAAACGGAAAGAGTATAAGGTAAAAGAATGTCCTTAAAACAATGGATGGTGCATTCAGACAATCAGAATAGGTAGGGGTGTACATAGGTCGGGTTGGTTCGGATTTTACAATTACCAAACCAAACCAATTGTGTCGGGTATTAAATCTAAAGACCAAACCAAGCCAATAAAGCTCGGGTTTTCAGGTTATTCGTATTTTTTTGATTTTTTTTCCGGTAAAATCTTCGTAGAACAAAATATATAACGTATGCTCAAAATATTTCTTAATCCTAATAAGATACAACTATATAAAGTATTTTCCAAGAAAATAATACAAAATATGAGATGTGTAATGACATTATCCTAAAATATTCAACAATAAAGACAATAAAATGATGTAATATAAATATTGCTAATTAAAAAGCCATAATAAAAATAAACATAATCTAAAGGTACTAAGTCATGTTAAATAAATAGACTAATAAGGGAGTATTAATTACATGAATAAACGCTAAAGAAAAATAAAAATAGGTTATGCATTTTTATCTAAATTATTGCAAAACAAAAAATAGATATTCAATACATTCCCGTTTGTAATATTAAATTGAATGTCTTTTGTTAGCATTAGTATTGATTTGATTTTGGTTTGGGCTTTTGTTAGCATTATTTAATTTACTAATATTAATGGCTAAACATTCAAAAGTTCTAAGTCCAACCTTGAAACAATACTTTAAATTTTAAAATTATGATAATTTTTAAGAAATATTTATAAATTACATCACAATAAGTATATTTATATATTAAATATATCTAAAATTTCTATATATATAATGTCGGGTTGGTTTGGTTTCAGTTTGACTTTCTTTAGTTAAAACCAAACCAAACTAATTATGGTCGTTTTTTTTTGCAACACCAAACCAAATCAAACTAAACCATAATCGGGTTTTTTTTCTCGATTTGACTCGAATTATCGGGTTGGTACGATTTGTCGGTTTCTTTGTACACCCCTAGAAATAGGGGTAGTGGGATACTATAACATACAACAGTATATGTTAAACAACTAAAAATCCAATTTCTTTTCTTTCCAAATAAGCTGCCAAAAATGGTATTCTCAACGAAAAGTTTAACACCAAAATTATGGGAGACTTCAAACCCGTTTGAGTTAGCTTACTCTACAGAACCACGTCTTCATAAGCTGTTCTTGCGTTAAAATGACTAAAATATCCTTAAAAATTTTACAAAAGTTTGAATGTCTTTTTGAAGAGAAAAGGAGCAATGATGGATAAGGAGTGAAGAGTAAGATAGGTTTTGTTTTGGAAAAGGTATTTTAAGAATGAGAAAAAATATTAAAGATAAAATAGGTAAAAACTTAGAGCCCATTTGGATTAGTTGATTATAAATACCTGATAAGTTTGAAGTGCTGAAAAACATTTTTAAGTGCTGAAACTGATTTTTCAAATAAGTATTTACGTGTTTGGATAGACGTGTTGAAAACTAATAATAAACAGTTGATGTGTTTGGTAGAAAAATGCTGATAACCTGTTCTTTTATTAAAATGACTAAGATATCCTTAAAAACTTTACAAAAGATTATAAATTAAAAAGTTTCTTTGTAAAGAAGAAGATGAAAAATGAATATGAAATGAAAAGAAAGTTAGAAAATTTATTTTGGGAAAAATATTTTGTGAATTAGAAAATATTATTAAGGATAAACTAGTAAAAGCTTTGGTCAAACCAAAAGTGCTTGTAAGCTAAAAAGTCATAAGTTGGGAGTGACCAACTTATGACTTATGACTGATTTTAGCTTATAAGCACCTGACTTATAAGCACTTTGGGTATTTACCAAACGCGTAGATAAGTCAAAAAGTGTTTAAAAGTCAGTTTGTCCAGCTTATAAACTTAGCCAAACACCCTCTTAGTCAAATCAAACGCTTTTGGTTTGATTTTGGCTTATAAGTATTTTGAGTGCTTACCAAATGAATAAATTAATTAAAAAGTATTTATAAATTATTTTGACCAACTTATAAGCTTAGCAAATCACCCTCTTGATGTATCACCATTCACCACGTGAAGAACTATTTTCCTTTCCCTTTTTAACATAAAGATATTTCATTTTTCATATTTTTCAGTTTTAAAATTCTTGACCTACTTCGATCCATATTCCATGCCAAAATTTTAGGTAACTTTAGTAGATTATATAAAAATGGTAAGTAAATTTTTTGAAAGGTAAAATGTAGTGAAATTAGTTCAAAGACCTGTCCAATTTTAAAATTATACTACAAAATGAAATATGAACAATATCTTGTGAATTTTAAAGGGATTAAAATTGCCTAGTTAAAAGCAGTACTTGCAGTTGTGTATCTCTAGATTATGTAATGTAAATACCTTTGCTCTATTCTTCCACTAATAAAGTTGTCTTCAAAAGGAAATATGTGATCCCTTCTTATGAGTGTAAGCTAGGTTTTTCGGATGAAAAAGCCTCCAAAAAATCCTTGGACAATTGGAGTTCAAGAACATGGCTCATCTCGTAGAGAACCAATATAATTGGAAAATGACACTCTATAACCGCTATCAAAATAATAGCCAAAAATATATAGTATTTTTTTTTTTGTATATTTTCTGTATATATACATTCTGTATGTTATATATAAAAATTATACAAATTTTATATACTTCGGCTACCAAGTGTAAATAATTTCTGATACGGGTTAAAAGTGATAATACCCAATATAATGGTGGATCCCAAACGTGATTAGATATTACTAATTTTAACTTAAATAACTAATTCAACTTTATTAACCCAAAATATTAATTTAAGTTAATGCATCTTAATTTAAGATTTATCTCAAATTCTGTATGTAATTGTTATACCAATATAATTTTGGGCAAAATACAAAAGTGACCAATGGCCGAAACTAATTGCATGCGTTAACCAAAAAGTGTATAAAAATAGTATATTATATGCATATACTACATATTTACACTATATATATATATATATATATATATATATATATATATCTTATCGGTTACATTTTTTGGAACGGTTAAAAATATACATTTCTCATATAATTTTGATGTCCACATATTTTATATAAGACTATAATAGATGTTACAAATTGAGATATTAAATAAGGTAATTACTTATTTGACATCAAATAAGCCAACAAATGTAAGATATATATTATACACATATATTTTTAAAATTTAATCATGATTATATAGAAGCCGAAGTCCCACTCAATTCATATAATTTCGCCGACTACCCTCTTAAATTTTATTAACATCGAACGCTTAAATTTTAACTTTAATCTAGTAGTTTTTAAAATTAATTGTTTAATTACATATAAGCATCCGGGTAACTATTTACCATAATTAAAGAACGTCTGAAATTTTCTCCAAGGAAAGAGACAAAAGCGAAGTCGGTTACTGAAACTTGAAGCAAAAGTAGGAGTGTAGTAGTAGTCCTATAATAACCCCGCAATATATTCTCTCTTCATTCAACTCAAAGCGAAGAAATACAAGAAAGAAGATGCCAGTCCGACAAGCCACAATGAAAAAGAAACTCAGTACCCTTAACAGTCAAAAGCCTAATCCCCGCCCTCTGCTCTAGCTCTTCCAGTTCTTCAGATTCTGACTTAGACCAACCCCACATCACCATCAATCCCAGTACTGCCCCATTAAAGAGACCCCAAGAAGAGTGATGATGAGCAGCGTCAGAAGCTCAAGTCGTCATTTGATTTTCCGTGGAGAAAGCCTCCACCCAAGTGGGGTGATGAAGACCTGATAACTCTACTTAAAGGTTTGATTGAATTCAAGTCCTCCGAGTATACGAAACGCCAGCCTTATGTAGATATGTACTCTTTCTACTACTTCATCGCGGAAAAATTGCAAGTCAAAGTTGATAGGTTTAGGATGAATGATAAGGTTAGGAGGTTGAAAAGGAAGTTGTTTGCTAATTTGGAGAAGAAAGGACAGAACCCTATTTTCACCAGTCCTCATGATTATTTAATTTTTGAGCTTTCTAAGAAACTATGGGGTGATGATTATTTAGTCTATGAATATTCAAAGAAAATATATGGTGGCAAGATTAGTGGTGGGAGTATTAATAGGCTTGTTAAGAATGTGAACAACGTGAGGGATCAAGTTAATAATACCTTTGCCAAACTAAAGGATGTTGAGAAAGAGATTGTTGTAAAAGAGGTGGCGGCTAATGGTGAAATAGATGATGAAGATCAACTGAATTTTCAGTCCAAGTATCCGCATTTGGCTGCAACTTTTAATGTGATGAAGAAAACTATGAGTTTGGTTGATAGTGACAAGATGAGGGATTTGGAGGAAGAGTTGAAGAAACTGCAGGAGAAAGAAACTGATTTGAAGATAAAGAGGTTAGATTTGATTAGGGAGAATTGTGAATTGGTGGCTGAGGTTACGAGAGGTAAGTAGAAGTTGAGGGCTTATATATGTTTTTTTTTTTTTGTGCAAAAAGTTACGGGCACTAATTACTAAAGTAGTTTTCTTGGAGCTTTTAGATTATGTTTGATATGTTTATTTTTGTATTTGACTAGGAACATTAAAATTTGGTGGTTGGGACAATAATTGATGCTTATGTTTTTTCTTTTGTTGCAATAACAACATATCCAGTATTATCACATACTGTGGTGTCTGAGGAGGATAGTGCTTGCGCAAACCTTGCCCTTATATTGTGAGGATAGAGAGGTTGTTTTCGATAGACCCTCGGCTCAAGAAAGCATATTAAGCACCACAATAATGAAAATATAGACAAGAAGTGACAACAACAACAACGACCCAATATAATTCCACAAGTGGGGTCTGGGGAGGGTAATATGTACGCAGACCTTACCCCTACCCCGAAGGGTAGAGAGGCTGTTTCCAGGAG